AATCTTTAAATTATAGTTTCTCTTTTCTGGTCCAATTTAAATTGTTACATAGTTGCTAAATTAGTGCTGTAATCCCTGCTTACAAATTGCTGAATTATTTTTAAAAATAGATGTAGTTTTACTGCAGGGAACAACCTTACACTTTAAACCCTATGTGCTGCAGGAAGCTGCTCTTGCACAGCTTTCAACCAACCACACTCACGTGCACACAGGGTGAGGCTTACAATACCAGTCACACTGAAGCTAATAGCAGTCTCACCAGAGATTTCAATGAGCACAAATTGAGTTAACACTGACATTTTAGAATGATTAGCAAATTTAAGCTTTCCCAGGATGCTCCATGGCAGCAGTGGCCCTTGTTGTACCATTTCTTAAAACATCAGCATTTCTCTTGTGTTCTGTTCTGAACTATCTTCTCCTACTGAACTACAGTCATTGATAGTCCAGGAAGTTACAAGATTGTAGGAGGGAAAAAAACCCTCTAAGATATACCTTCTTCTGCTTACAAAACAAGTAATTGGGGGGGGGGGGGGGGGGGGAGAAGGGAAAAAAAAAAGAAAAAAAGGTGGAGCACTATGATCCCAAGTTCAAAGCTGGGGAACAGCAATAATCAGGGCAAGACTCCCGTGCATAATTCTTCTTCCTTCAAGCACTTCCACAGCTTCAATACTATGGAAAGATGAACTTCACCTGCAAAAAATCCTTGTAAGGGATCTTTGGGGATGGGTTTAAGATATTGTCCTCAATGTCTCACAGCGCTCAGCAGAAATAGGAAACCTTGATCCCTGGGTCTCCACAGGGCTCTGCAGAACATACCCACCATATCCCCTGCTCTAGCTTGACAGAAATGAGAGGTTCTTTATTCTCCTTCAATCAATTTTTCATCATTTCTAGCCCATCACTTCTCTGAAGTCTTTCATCTGACCCTGGCTATTTCTGCTTTCTTGTACCCTTCCCAGTCCCACCATGGTCCTCTTCTCAGGTGGGTCACATTGACTTAGACACAACAGAAGAAACCCTGAGAGGCCAGGAGCATCAACAAGATGCTCTCTGCATTAACTGCAGGAGCTCAGCCCCTCCCAGCCCTCACCTCAGAGAGCACATCTGCATCTGCCAACAGCCAGACTGTCAGGAGAGGGGAGAAAGAATGGAGGAAAATTTCCACATCCTGGAGAAAGTTATCTGGACATCAAAGAACACCCCATTCACAAAACAGCAGCATCACTCTTGCCAGACTGGTGTGTCTGGTTAACCTTGTGCTCAGTCCTTATGATAACACAGTATTTGGACAGCAGACAGCTGGCACTGCTCAGCATCTTGCTCTTCAGTCTTTTATAACAACAGTTCCACTGATATTACGCTTAGCCTTTTCCCTGCTCTCAGTCCAGTGTTAAAATCTCTTCAACTACTTAGAGGAAGCAAACCAAATGTTGTTTTGTCAGTAATTTGCCCTGTAAGGGAGGGGGGAAATATACTGTTAACATACTGCAGACACAGCGTTCATCACGTGCGCAGCAGTTCACTGGTTAGACTGGAAACTCTATGAGGGTATTTCAAATGTTAACTTGACTGTCATCATGACTGGGAAACATCTGTCTCCTATTAACACTTTAGATTTTACAGTTGCTTTTAGTTCAGCAGAAGAGTCTTAATGGAGAAGACTGGTACTCTTTTAGAAATAACATCAATAATGAAAGAATCCTTGGATGCAGAGCAAAACCAGCAAACACATTGGCAACAGAACTCACTGCACTCAGAAGATGTAACAGGAAATGATAGTGACAGGCTTTTGGGTGGGAGGATTTTTGTGTGAAAGAAATTAACTCTGGTACTCAAATTCCTATTAAGAAAAATATTTCTTTTCGAACAGGTGATTGATTTCCTTAGATGTTAATTCAGACTTTTGGGGAATTTCATCTTACTTGGATCACTGATAAATAAAACCAGAAACAAAAACAACAAAGAAAACCCCTTCTGCAGGCTATTTAGGCTTGGTATTGACTAACCAGTAATTAAATACAGCTCTTCACAGAAATTTTAATTATGGCTTCTCTACACCACAGCTAAGAAGAGTCACACAACAAACTGAGAAGATTAGCCAATCCTAATTGTTGAAAAACATTTATTTTTATTTTTGTGCATAGTTTTTGTGTGCATAAGGCCACAAGTCACACCAGTGAATTATTAAAAAATAATCAAAGGCTTCAAGAATTTATGTATCACAACTAGGCCAGTGTTACAAGGGAAGTATTAGTTTATTTTCTTTATATAAATTAAGCCTCTATGACTTGCATAAGAGCTCAAGAGTTTTTGACTTGGGAAAATAGTGATGTGTGCTAGAAATCAGTGTGAATTAGGTAGACCAGAAACAAGTTTCACTGAGTTACTCGCTCTGAGAATCCTGTTTTCTCAGCTGGCCACTGCCATGAATTAGCTATGCAGTCACATCTGCTGCACCTTCCATGGGAATTCAGGTCCAGAGGAATCTGAGTCAGGGACTTTAGTCCCACTTAATTTCTACAGATCTAGGATTCCTAATATCCTAGCTATATTCTGATAGAGGGACCTTGCGAAACAAAAAATACCCCACCCACCTTCAAAAACCAGACACAAAAAAAAAACCAAACCAAAACCAATCAACCAACCAAAAAGAAAGAAGAAAAAAACCCAAACCAAAACAAAAATATTCAGAGGCCACAATTCAGCAGAATGTGGCTAGACAGGCTAGATTTTAAGAAGGTCATTAACTCTCAGAGTTCAGGATAACTGCATCACACATCTAAAAGCATCTAAAGACAAACACAGTCAGACTGTGCCTCATCAATTTAAGGGTCTCATTCATCTGTAAGAAAAACTTGCAAGCCTAGCTCAAAGCCTCAGTGTACTTAGGCATTCATTATCCTACTGAAGCCAATGCAGGCTTCATTCCACTGAAAAATCAATGAGACATATGCTCTAGGACACAAATTCCTCAGGCCTAAAGCCAGTGGATGGCAGAAGCCTAGAGCCCTTATAGATCTGGCTTTCAACACAGCAGAGTCCTGAGCTTTCCGAAAGACACTGAGACATAGGCTCCCAACACTTGTTTCTTCCACATTTATAGTTTAATATGTGCTTGGGTTTTTGCTTTTTTCTTTACTGCATCAGACTGACAGCTTTCTTCCCATTTTTCACTCACAGTACCAGCTGCCCAGATACATATATGTAGCCCCCTCAGCATTGCCATCCTTTTCCCTGCATGTGCAGCAGCAGATGGATCCAGACGTGTTTTGGGTTAACTCCATAACCATGTTTTTGTGGACTGCATGGATAAACATTTAAAGGCCCCTTCTGGTTATATAAAAGGAAGCTATTAAACGTTTACTCTTTCCTCTGTACTCAGAGCTGCAAAGCAGTATCACAGAACATACAAACGCAGATGCAACCAGGCAATTATCGTTCCTTTATCCCTTAAATAGATAGAAGATAAATTTGAAAGAAAATGAGGAACAGAATCCTTCTCCCTTTCCTTTTTTATCCTTTTATCTCCCAATGTAGGAAGTTTACTGAACCCTTGCCAACAATTCACTCAGGCTAATGAAGTGTATAAGTAATGGGATTAAATAATCTTAAACCATTACTACAGTGGCTAATGCAGATGTTTTCCCAAACTAAAGCAGATGAGTGGTGTAGAATGCGTGCTTGATTTAAAAAAGAAGAAAAGAAAAGTATCAATCTGCAAGCAGATGAAGTCAATTCCAGCCTGAAGTCAATGAAATGTTTAATTCTAGTTACATAAAGTTGCTCCAATTATATTATGAATGCACCTTCCTAAAGTCTTCAGTGCTTTGCACGTGGTTAAACTTGCCACAAAATGAAACTTACATTTTTTATGGCACAATCATTTTAGTGCAAACAAAAATAGAAATTATTTAAAAGGTACATATTTCACCAAAAGACCATTTAGCCTTTAAAATCAATTTAACAAGGCTCATCTATCACTGCCATTGTAAACAAGACACAAGCCTCCCTTTTTATATTCAATATTTCAGCAACAATCTCACTGTGAAGGCTCTGTAGAAATTGAGAGAACAATGAGATATTGGTGGCATTTTCAGAAATATTATCCTATCATTGCTCTAATTATAGCTGGAATGACAGAAATGTAATGAAAAATATCAGTTTTTACTTTCAGAAGTGTAAATACAATTCTGGAAGGGTCTTAGGTCCAATGTTTGTAAGAACTCAAAACTGAAGTTTAAAGAAAGATCTGTCCGTGTTTTAAGAATGTTCCAGTGCTTTTCTTATTTTAAGTTACAAGGATAACCCTTATAAACTGGATGCTAAGGTCAGACCAACATAAAGCCTCAGGCACATTATGGGATGTTTATTTAATTTGCACCTGTGCAACTGGTTCCAGCTACTTGTTATGGGAGTCTCTTAAAATGTGCAGCTCCTCAAGAGCAACTGTTAATTGTTTGCTTTAAGACCTTGTTGGAGGCATGAAATGAAATTTTAGGGTTAATGTAAGGTTCAAAAGATATCTAATCCAAAGACCCTTAGTTCAGTAGAAAGTCTTCCATCAAGCAAGGCAAAAGTCTTGATTTTAGAAGTTTTAGTGCTTTCTTGCATCCCACCTCCTTAATCTTATTGGGCACCACAGTACAGTCTGTAACCATTTTGGTATCAGGTTTCTCAACACAGAAAGCTGAGAACCACACTACTGCTAAAAAATGACTGCACAGTCTGCTCCTTACAGAGATGAAACAATCACAAAACCCAGCTCTTTCTCCTGCTGTGTCCACTTCATTTCAGAGGGAAGTCAGACCAGAAAATGTAATTCACCCAGTAAGCTGAAAAGACCAGAGTTCTTCTGAAGACCATAAAAAAACTTGTTGCTCATGGTACTGCCACAGGGTTGTCAGATTTTAACTGTAAGGTAACTCCACTGCAATGAAAGAAATAAATGTTTCCCGTGTCTGTGCATTAAAATCAGGGCACAAAGAGGAATGGGTACTCACAATGTAGCAGGGTTCACAGTAGGCTTTCTTCTCCACGGCGTAGAAAGGCTGTCCCCTCAGCTTGCTCTTGCACGTTATGCAGGTGAAACACTTCACGTGGAAGACTTGGTCCATGGCTGTGCAACCGGTGCCTTCTCCAACAACATTCTCCCCGCAGCGGGCACAGCGTCCTGTCACCAGAGGGAAAGGACAAGAGTCAAAGCAAGCCCGTCGTCCCAGCTGCACAGAGGCTCCCTCCACTTGCCCATGGCTGGTGAGGGGGATGTAGCAGCTCAGTCCACAGGAAGACAGTTTGTGCTACTACTGGCAAAGATCCAGTGCCACTGGAAGGCACTCTGGTGCTGGTCCACATGAAAAGATCTAGAAAGGATTGAAATTGGCTCCCAAGACAGCACTCATGTCAGTCATGCTGCTGCAAGCCAGCAATCATTGTAAGGATCTTGAGATTCAGCTCAGCTATCATCTAACCCAGCTATATAGTCATCCTCAGCTCCTCATTTAGATGGGATAAACCAAGGCCTTAAGCCTTGCTTCTACATGAAAGGATTTTGTCATAGGAAGCCTCATAAAGCTATCTGGTGGCAGCTCAATTTAAAGAGAAGTTTTTGCTTGTATAGCTTAAACCAATTCTCTCAATGAAGCCAATTACTTTTTTTTTTCCTGTTCAAAGATTAATACAGATTAAGATATCCTGTCTATTTTAAAGCACAGAAACTATTCCTAAAGAAACTGATGTGTAGGTATTTGATTCTTCCCATCCTTCAAGAAAGGTGTATCAGAAACTGCTGTTAAAGACCCTAAGTACAGATATGTCTTAAGAGCTCTGTCTTTTTCTGAAAAAGGTCCTTAATGTCAGACACAAATGCATAACAAAAAGCCCGTAGACATGCACATACAAAAGGCTTGTTGCCTTTTTCAGATTGTTGCTAAAGATGCTATGTGGCAGATAGTTTTAAAGTGAAGACAAGATTTCCTTAGCTCATGGGAAAAACATTTACCTAGGGAAGACTGTAATGCAGAAATGATGAAGAGGTGGGTAGAAGGCACACCTTAGCCATTTTTCTCTGCCATTTGGGCTCTAGAAAATGGAGATAGCCCATTAAGTTCTGATGTACTTACATAACAATTGATGTTGAAAATGAAAGGCCTTAAGGACTAGGTCAGCCACATTACAGAGGAGAACCCCACCAAAGGTAATAGAGTAACTATGATCTGGGGCATTGCCCCACTCAAAGTTGTACTCCCCAGTTTAAGCATAACTGTGGTGATACCAGCCTTGGGACCCTGCACTTCTTGAAGACTTCATGGGTGGAGTGGTGTGGTCAGTGAGGGTGGGAAGGGAAGAAAGAGCTGAGGTACAAGCTGAGTTCAGTATAGAATTATTCATAAAAACATATAGAAATAATATCTACCTGATAATAATTACATAATCCAGTGATGATACAATGCTCTCTCATACCATGGTCTGTTTATTGGCCTTTTCATGCAAATACTGCACAACGTCTACAAGTTAGACTTGTCTTGTCGTCTCAAGAGCAAGACTGCTGCCCTTCACTGTGCACTGACAATGTCCCCACAGTCATGACTTCTTTTTTGCCTGTCCCACACTCCAACAAGCTACATTCAGGGAACAAAGCATGTAAGCTACTTTTGGATCCCTCAGGATGTGGCAGGATGATATATATACACATTTGAGATATATTCGGAAAGCTTGGAAAAGAATCCAGATCATTACGATTTACTACAATGGCATAGCTGTAGCTGGCTTTATACAGGACAGACAGTTCCTGGCTCAAACAGCTCCCAGCCTGAGCAATGTGGAGGGATAACTCACCAGAAGAATCTAGACAAGTCTGGAATTCCCCCAAATGGAATTAATAATGATGTATTTAAACTTAACTTTCCTTAGCATTTGTTATTAGGGTTTTGATTGTCACTGTTGTGCTTTAATCACTACACTGTAGCACTTCTAAAGAGGACTCCTTTCTTATGAACAGAAGAGGAATTCAGGTTTCCCAGCATGGTAGTAAGGCTACAGAGCATGGGGGAAGAATGGAAAAAGCCATGAGGGCTAGGAAGAAAAAAATCCAAACCCACTGGAGAGAACCAAAGGAGCGAGCACTGCACTGAGAAGGAGGCAGAAGATACCTCCTGGGTACCACAGGAGAGCCCTGCTGAGCCCTGCGTGTGGACAGCACAGAGCTGCTCCAGGGCCTTCTCCAAACATCTCATGTAGCTGGGCTGTAACACGAAGAGACGTCTGGGGAGCAGTTAATATCTCTATATATAAAACATGAAATTGAAAGCCATTAGTGTATTACTTTACACAGTGTTTTTCCAGAGGGAATATTCCGCTGAAGAATTTATTTTCCCTAGTGGGCCATTCTGTGATCATCCGGTATTATTTTTATGAGGCATTTGGACATGGAATAATGTAGTGTCTATGCAAACACTTCTCAGCTTTCTTTGTTAACATCTGAGCAGAACATGTGGGAATCCTTTCAACCCCTCCTTCTCTTCTAACACACATAATTTAGCCAGCTCTTGTGTGCTTCAGCATTTATCTTCCTCTTTGACCAAGGCATCTCTCCATTTGCTGAAGAAGCTGTCTACATGGAGACCATACTTCTGGCTGCACTTGTACCAGGAGACCTGGGTCTCTTTCCTAACTTGAATACATACTCCTGTAATCTCTGACAAGTTACTCAGTGCCTTTGTACCTCTGTGCCCTCTATGAGCAAAGGGCATAAAGACATCTTCTCTGCCTCCCAAACGTGGCCTGAGGCTACATTCCCCCATGGCTCTGAGGTATTCCCCAACTACACTGCTGGTGCTCACATACAAACCAAAGAGTAGCACAACATGAGTCTTGGCCAACTTATCCCCTCTAAGTTCATTTCCTGAGGCTTTCCTTCCTCTTTCTGGGTTTTTCCACAGAAGATTCCCACTGTGGCAGTGACAGACTTAACCTGTCTACATTTATAAGAAGTTCAGTTTCTGCTATTAAGTACACAGACAGAAATACTCCTATAAACTCTCACACAGGACAGCTTAAACAAAGCTTCCTTTTTTATAAGTTTATATGCAAATTATAACACTGTGGCCTTGAGCAAACCATGTTTTTCATGAGACATGGCCACTCCAGTGAGAACGAAAACACATGTTCTGTGCCTAGCTACTGTCCCAACTGTCTCACTCACCCAAAAGGCAAAAGCAAATAAGCCAAAATATTCAAATTTGGGAGCTTACAGTTGGGTGGCTGGATCCACTTAAAGGCACATGGGCAAATACACACCGATCTGGTTTGCAGCAATGTGATCACTGGAAACTGCACCTTGTGCAAACCTTGGTGCAATCTGGGAACTCACAAGGCTTCTGCAAAAACCTGTCTCTTCTCACAATTCCTGCAACTCGCTCAAATGTAGTTGAAAATGGCTATTAGTTTCAAGTGTTGGTGAAGGAGGAACTGACAAGCAGACAGGCACATGCACACAGGCAGGGCGATTGCACAAGCCTAATTTCCTTAGAAAACCAGAAAAACCCCACTAAAAACAATGTATCTACCATTATGTCTGATAAAAACAAAACAAAGGTCTGCTTTTCCTCTGTGCCAGTTACCAACGGCGAAGGTATTTGTGGTTGGGCTCACCACAATTAAGTGCCCACACATGTTCCCCATTTTAATATTTTCACACTGTCTCAAATAACCCAGTCCGTTGTGTGCAGAATACCCATGAGTGAATGCAGAACAAGTTGCACTGCTTATTGGGAAAGAAGTAGCAAAGGCAAAGTTTGCAAGACTCAAGAACAAACAGATTGCACAAAAAAGATTACACAAATAATCTAAGAGAAAAATAGCAGGCAGCGTATTACAGTAGAAACACAGAACAACGTGACCCATTTGCTTTCCACAAACAGCATTTAAAAGGCAGCTTAAAGACAAAGGACAAAATTAGCACTAAACTGCATGAAGATGAGAAACTATGTCATTTCAACATTCTTCTTTTGCCCCTTCAGCCCTTTTTAGATCCTTTTTCAAGATCATTTCAGCAGAACTAGAAGGCAATATGTTGGCAGCAAGCCTGGGAGACCGGAGTCCTCTATTTTTGCATGAAAGAGGTTCATAACCTTGGCTGTGCTGTGACCTTCCTTCAGCCCAGCCTGGCTGCCACATGGTGGTCTTACCTTGGGGGGATGTACAGAAGTGCCTGCAGAGGCTTCCCTGCTGAAAATGCCATCATTAGTGAGTGGATTACACAGAAACACTTCAGCAGCTGAAAGGATACATCAGCTACTACACTCTATTCTGAAACTTCCCCAGCTACTGTCTTCTGTTGAATAAAAAATTTGAAATATTGTGAATCTGAAGGAAGAGGGGGAAGGGAGAAGAGGAGCTCATATTGCACAGGATGCCATGTTCTAACTAAGTTCTCATTACTCTTATTACATGGTTTTCACCTATACCACCACAGATCCTGGCTGCTCAGATTATAGAACAGATCCATTCTGCTGGGTATTGGGAAAACATAGAATTCAAAGAGGGCCCAACTGCAGGAGTTTACAACCTAATACAAGCAATAACAACCAGGTAGTGATAGGAATAGAAAGAAACAATCAGACAAAACCAGTCAGCAAGGGAAGCTGTGGTCTTAGCACTCTAAATGTTTTACTGTTGACAAGGAGTCTGTAGACAGCACAGCAAAGGAAAAGGTTAAGGAAGAATTTGAAAGAGGACCCGGAGGGAGTTTAAAGGAAGTTTAATGGAATGCTTCTGAAGAAAGGACAAAGACAACACAAAAGAGAATGTAAGTGCTTGAAGGTTGAACATAGACAACTTCAGATGGGAAGGATGAGTTGATATGTCACTAGAGAATACTAGAGGAAGAAAGGTGGGAATAGGTCATTACAGGTCATGCAGGTAAAGACATGAAGCTTCTGTTTGATATGAGGCAGAAATGAAACCATAGGAGAGATGTTTAGGAGTTGGATTTGATTATCCTTGTGGGCCCCTTCCGACTCAGGATATTCTATGACTCTACGGCTAAGAGACAAAAATTATCTGGCCTAAGTTAGAAGCCAGAGAGTTATTTCTGAAGCTAGTTGAACATGAATAGAGAGAAACTGCATTTTTTAAAAAGGATGTTGCAGAGATTCAAGGTCACTGGAGCTT